TAAATCACCTCGAAGATAGGCAAAATATTCATCAGATTCTTTCACTTGCAATTACAGGGATTTTAACAACATGTGGAATGCTTTCAATATCACCAAATGGAACAAACACTGACAAATATCTTTCGCTTCTAGTAATTTATGCATTCACCCATAGAAACAAGGTTGAGCAAATTCATATATTTCTTAGCATTGACTTACACATCCCAGGCACTTCTTCTTGACAAATGGGATAGTAGCCAAAGCGAGCGCCATGTTAACCCCGTACAATCCCAATGCAAAGCGGGTATCTGTATAGTCGAAACCTTGAACAGTAGGTAGACGATTGTCAGTAACTAATCAAAGCAACTCGTGACTTTTCAGACCTCCACCATTCTTGTAGACTAGGTAAGAGGCATACCCAAGAGGTGCAAGAGCGAGAATATCCATTACAGAATACAAACGCACATCTTTAGGAGCCCAACTGGGTTTCTTCACGTTCTGAACAACCAAGAATATCGAAGATATTCTTGTATATGAATTGAAACATGAGAAGGTAAGCTCTTACGGTCCACCAGTCCACCACATCCTTATCTCTAGCAAACATGGCAAAGGCCGTGACGGCAGCTCCGGCAGGAACCATGGTAGCGATGAGAGCATTGCGAGTGTCCTGGAAAGATTTTCACGTTGCAACGCAAGGAGTTTAATTTCAAAATTACAAAAAGATCTATCAAAAAAGGAAGGAGTGATTAGCGTACTACAAAATAAATATGACTAGATGGCAAGAGATTTTAGAAGTAGCTGCTCTATCAGATTCTCACACTTACTATCGCAGAAATTTTCAACAAGCTCCAAAAATCCTGCTATTAAACGTATGATTTTGGTGGGGATCATGAGTCAAAAATGATCAACACTGAAAAGATTACGACTCTGAAAGTCGTTATCATGCGTTGTCATAGCAATGATTTTCAGTACTAAGGAAAGTGACAATGACTCCCTTTATGTAGCATGACAGAAAGATAGCTAATCCTTCAAGACCTTCTTATATCTAAACATGAAGAATTATTTACATGGAAAACATATCCGCTACATTTTAAAGAACGTTGAAAACCTATTCCAGTATCACATTAACTCTTCACATTTGAAAAAATCGTAGCATGAACTTGCATTATTGAAACTTTTTCTAGAGAAAAAACAATGCACCTTTTGAGGCGCGCTCATAGTTTTCTACACACGCACATTCGTCCGTCATTCCTGCGCCGTTTAGAGGAGACATACAATTATCGTCCAATGGGGGA